GTTCTCTGGATCCAAAGAATGTTGTCTATATGAATGCATGCATGCATGAGTGGATCCCATTCTTGAAAGGCACCGTAAATAACTTTAGAAGCATACACACATTCCTAGTTGGTAAAATGCATATCATTCCTCCCTGTCCAATCCCAGTAGAAATCTGTGAACTTGTCCATTGCTTTGAAAAATTGCTAGTTAATTTGCACAGCGTCTGAACATGTTTTCCACAGTCTCTCAAATTTGGCAAACCTTCCCCCCCCCCCCCCCCGCCCCTTACCCTTGTACAAGTTCAACAGCCAAACTGTAGTTCAGGTCATCTGGTGGAATCCAAGTCAGGAAGTTCTGCTAAAAAAAAAATCTTTGACAGCTTCATCTTTAAGATGATTAAGGAAAAAAAACCTCAGAAAATGTGCCAGGGGAAATACATTTCTTCACTTTTTATGCCACCCTCATTAGAAAAACCTGCACATTTTTAGTGCAGAGACGTTTGGGAAATGGACATGATAATTAGGAAAAGGTCATGCTTTAATTAGGGTTGTGCAATTTTTAAAATAATGGTCCAATTGTAGCTCCTTTAAATTCAACCATTCTTCTGTGGAAACATTCAAGGCAGATAAAAATTCCTGGCATAATAATTAATATAAATTGGGGCGTTGCTTCTTTTACTACAGCTACATTTGTTTCTTTTGATACCTGAATTCCCTGCAGTAGAGTATGGGAGTTCTTGAGTTGCATAATTGTTCTGGAAAGCATAGCGGGGGTAACATGAAAGGAAAAAAGCTCTTATCATCTTGACCTATGATTATTAGCATTCTGCGGGGTTGCCCTGATGACGGTGGCCAGCCCACCGGCAGGGTGGGGTAATGGGAAGCCCAGTAGTGTCACTCTTTAGCTTTGGCACTTTGATTTCAGAACAGATCAAAACAGCCCCAGAACGAAATGGCTGGGGACCCAATTACTCTAGAGACAGTCTTCACTTTTACTCTGGCACCCCCACTCGCTCTCACACACATGTTCTGTCTTTCTGAGTCGAAGGCAGCTAGCAATATTAAACACCAAAAATGTAACACAACCTTGAAACCTGGAAATGAATCATCCATCAACCTGCAGTGAACAGAAAGCAACATCAGAAAGAAAGGATGAGTCCAGAAAAGCACCTGGGAAGAGTGGCTACTTCCGTGGTCCCCAAATACCCTTTGGTGCTGGAAAACGCACAGGAAGGGGAGAGCAATATCCCCCCCAGCCCCCAGTACCAGCCTGGAGAGAATTCCAAACCCTCAGGGCTGCTGTTGAGCAGGCAGCCCTTGGGCAAGGCTGACTGTCTGCCCAGCAGTTTTTCCACAACATCAGCTTGTACAGGAACGCTGTAGGAGGATGCGCAACACAAATTTTGCACCGACTTTCTCAGCTGCAAATGTCCTGCACAGGTAGAAATTGCTGTGTCCTTTATTCCAGTGCACTTAAATCAGAGACTAATCTTTTCCTTCTTTTAGCCTGGGTAGCCATGTTAGTCTGTGCCAAAACAACAGAGTTTTGGAGCTCCTTAAAAAGTAACGCATTTGTTCTGATGTAAACTTAGACTATAGCATGAAGTGTTATGGAAAGATTCAGGTTTTAATGCATTACAAAGTGAGGTCAGAAGAAAATCTGACTTTGGTGCGCCCGCAACTGGAGTTTTGTGTTCAGTTCTGAGCCCCTCATTACAGGAAGGAGATAGCCAGGTTAGAGTTAGTGCAGCGCAGGGCCACAAGGATGGTGGCCAGATTGCAGGGAAAGCTGTATGAGGCGAGACTGAGGGAGCTGGGTCTTTTCAGCCTGGAGAAGAGGAAACTCTGAAGGGATCTGTTGGTGACATTTAGGTATGTGAGGGGGTGTCACACGGACGTGGGTAGAGACCTGTTCTCCCCTGCATAGGAGGGCAGGACACACTCCAACTGAGCCAAACTCAGGGAACCAAGGTTCAATTTGGATGCTAGGAAGCAATTCCTGACAGTTAGGACCCTGAGGGTATGGAATGGGCTTCCAAGGGAGGTGGTTGAAGCCCCAGTGGTGAGGGTGTTCAACGATAGGCTAGACATGCACATGGTAGGCACGTTGTGAGCAGAGCCGGCTAGAGCCGGGGGTCAGACTAGATGGCCTGGAAGACCCCTTTTTGCCCTGTTTCTAGGCTTCTAAAATTAAGTGTGGAAAGTATTGACAGGAGTAATTAATAGAAGCCAATAGGCACATTGATGTTCCGACATTCCATTATTTTTTCACTGTTGACACATTTGAATTTAAACTTCTTGGCTGAGGCTGAGTAAGTGCGGGATGCACCCCATCACCACCCTCCCATTCCCTCTAATTGAGCAGATGCTTCTTCCTTTCCTCCACCCCGTGTTGCCTTGACCCAGTGTGAAGAAGTGAAGGTGCAGTTGGGGGTGCCAAGAACTGAATGAATGCATGTAACCTCTTGCTAAAATCATAGGCTGCCTTTTAAGTACTATTGTCATAGAAGAACAATAAATATTCCCTAGCTGTGTATTTCAGACTGGTAATGATACCTCTGCTTCCTTGTAAAATCCTGTGGAATATGCTTTGTTGGCTCTGCTCGCCAAAGGTGCTGCTGTCTCCACAGGGAAACCTGAGGAATTGTGAATTGTCTTGATTCCACAGAGCCCTCAGATAGTCTTGTCAGCATCCCTCTCTCCTTTAAGAGTTAATGTTTTACCTTCCTAGCTGTCCAAATCTGTGTGCATTAAACACTTTCCTCATATTGTCTATGGCTGCGCTTTAAAATAGGTTAACAATTCTGACTTTCCATGGAAGAATTTCCATGTGCCCTTTAAGAGTTTTAAGTGTCTTAATTTGGGTCCTTAATAGGGTGACAATAGGGAATGCACCGGGCAAGTTTTTCCCTCTTTCAGTTGGACATTTTGCAGAGAGGTGAGCTGAGAGGTGGGCACTGCACACACAGTTTTGAAATAATCTTTTCATCCTTTGCAGGCAGTCTTTCCAAACATTCAGCCAGACGTCCAAGAGACAGAAAAGTCAGCAAATGTTCTGGTGGAAACTGGGCCTGTATCCTACAACCATGAGGAAGACGTGGAAGAAGAAGAGGTGGAAGAGGAGGAGGACCACTGCATGAGCGCCCTGCAACTAATGGGAGGAAATGGTGGGCCTTAATTTCACACATTTTAAGGAGATGCCACCCCACAAAGCATTTCTTAACCCTTTCCAAAAGCAGTTTGACAGCTCCACCATCGCGTCCCACACGTCCGCACGTGTCCGTATGACTTCTTCCCTTGTACCATTCCACCAGCAGAACACCTGAGGCATCATGCCAACCCATGATTTGGCATTTCTTGCGTGAGGGACTGGAGGCACTTGGGCTTGCATACTTCCTCCTGCTCAGGCTTTGATCCTTAGTTCCAGAACTGGCCTGCAGGGTCCTGAAAAGATGCCAGCTATGTGGCTTGCCTTTAATCAGGATGGGAGGCAGGGAATCGGTGGTGGTGGTGGGAAGAAGTGAGCCTGCAAGCCCCAGGCTCCTGCTGGTTTGACCACATAAGGCCAAACTAGGGTGTAATATTCTCGCTGGACCTCCTTGTGAAAGCTCTCAAGGAGAGGCAGGGCATGAATGTTCGTGACTCGGTGGCCGTTCACCTGTAAGTGATCCCCAGAAACACTCACGTAGGCCTCTTGGCTGCAGCAGCAAGGAAGAGCCTTCCTCACAGGCGTTCGAAGGACCACGACCATGTTAGCGGCCAGTCGAGCCATCCCCTCCCTCTGCATCCCTCACCCCACCCATTTGCCATACAGAAAAAACGCTCAGTGCACAGGGACAGGCCGCCGTGACAGAAAGAGCCAAAGGACCATCTGCTCTGCTTGTCTTCCTCCGGTTTTAGATCTGGAAATTCTCCACTCTAGCATGGCCTTCTGAATCATGCTACAGAAGTCACACGTTCCTACAAATTGCTTTCCCCTTCCAGCTCTTGGATGAGGCGGCAAATTGTACATTTTCTCCTTTTGTCCCACTGGGGGTTTTTGACACCAGTTCGTGTAGCTTAGGATGCATCTTTTCCCAGAGCTTTTTGTACTTTTTCTGTAAATGCTTTCCCAGTTCAGTCTTCCATCTCTGTCATTTTTCTTGCTGCATTTTGAGTGCTGGCATCTGTCTCATACATGGTGATCTGCTAAATCTTTGCCACCTCCTCATCCCCTGCTCATCCTCATTTCTCAGAATTGCCTTTGTAGTTTTCCCATAAAGGGGATTTTGTGCCTAAGCTTCCATGGTAAGGACTTGATGCTCCCACACAGTGCTGGGATAAATGCTTTCAAGTTAATAATACTGTTTATGTGTTATTGTTTAATAATGTTTAGAGGGGTTTACTAAGCCCACGTTACCCCCAAAGGTTTTACATAAACAGAAAATCACACGTGAGACAGTTAATTCAGTGATAGGTATTAAGTCCTCCCTGGCTCAGTCGCCAGGTGTTCGAAGCCCATGGCAACACACCCTGCCCCCCTCCAAATCCCATTTGCCCCGCATCTTCTTTTTCATTCTTGCCCCACTTGTTTGGGGGGCAAAAGGCCAGAGCTGGGGGCAGCAGCATCTCTACCTGTATTTGTCACCAGCATCATCTGGCCAGTGCGAGTGGCAGCGGAACAAAGGGCTGCAGTTATACAGAGGCGCACCAAGCCCCCTTCCCAGGGGAGGGGGGGTCAGTGGACTCTTGCTGGCACATGGGCCTCCAGTGGGTGTCCAGCTAGGCCTGCCCTCGACCCTGGCGGTGCTGTTTCACACTGGCCGTCAAACACCTGCTTAAATGGGAAGCTTGAAGCCGCTATGAAATGCTCAGGACAAGGTGGGTCACACTTCAGTCTTAGGGTCACCTCCAGGTAATGGCATTAGGAGGCTGGGGTTTGGACGACCTGCCTTCTCCAGGGACTCTTCCAGCCCTGTGATTTTTGGTTGTAAAAGCCAAACTGGTTGAACTGGTAGAAGTGCTGGAGATGGCCTTCCTGGTCCTGGCAAAATGGCCAGGTGTCCCTCAGAACGTTCACCTCTCAGGGAACTACTAGATGCAACACTATGTGTAAATGTGTTTTAGGCTATTTTTATTGTATTGCATTTAGGTCATTTTATGAATGACACCCTGAAATCCCTTTTGGGCATGGAGCACAGTTTATAGATTTTAAAGTAGATGAGCTGTCCGTAATTGCAGTCCTGGAAGAGAGCATGGATCCCTCCCTCTGCTTCCTCTCTCCTTCCTCCTTGCAGTTTCTGTCACCAGCTGTGCCTGTGCCAAGGCGAGCTGCGGTTCCAGAGGGAACAGCTAGGAGAGGTGGATTCCTGGAGCTCTGGAGGTGCGGATTTCTCACCTCCTGCAGTGACTCTTGGGGTGTTAAGCCAAGAGCCCCCACCTATGCTCAGCCCATGTATTTGCAGCTAAATGCTGGAATCCCTCCAAACTCTCACTTCTCAGAGAACTGTTATACACAACACTATGTGTGAACGTGTTTTTAGGTTATTTTTATTGTATTACATTTAGGTCATTTTATGAATGACACCCCGAAATCCCTTTGGGATAGGAGGCACTGTTTATAGATTGCTAATGTGAGAGACAGTGATGGGTTGCCCTTATTATTTAAGAAACCTGTAACTGAGGAAGAATTGTGAGGCTTCTAGACAAAGAACATTTCCTGGAAGTCCGTGAGATTTTATTGAAATGCAGATGCATCATCGTTGTAGTAGTCTTTTATCTGGAGGAGCCAAATTTGAGAAGCTGAGAACAGCAGGCACTGGGATAATTCTTAGGTGGGTAGGTGACTTCATGTCATGGCAGCTGAGCTTGGTCTCTCTCCCTCCCTGCCTGCATTCCCAAAAGGACTTCCCAGGAAGTCAGGTGGGTGATCAAGCATGTATCCGATTAACCCATATTTCTGTCCCTTAAATGAGGAGTGGTAATATGCAGCCTAAAAGCAGCATACAACACCCCCCCCCAAAAAAAGCAAAGCAAAGCTGTTTAAAAAAGATGATGTTTAGGGCAAATTTGCCACACAGACAAGCTAAGCTAAATCTGACCTTTTTGGTGCTTGATGGGGGTCCAGATGCCTTTTTCCCAAAAAATTAATGTTTATGTCTGCCAGCAGGCAGTAGCCTGTGAGTATGTTTGGGGTTTTGAATGGCCCCTGCCCCCCTCCCGCCAAAGTTGCCCTCCTGTGTCTTAAAGGAACGTACAATGTCTTCTTTTAACAAATCCCAAGGATAAATAATGCTCATAAACATTCCTCACCCAACAGAGTGTTCAGCAATGCAACCAATCAGTAGGGTTTAGCATCTATAGGCAGACCTGACAATACACTCTGTGTTTGGGATACAAGATTCTTGCCGTTTTGAAGCTTCTCATTATAGTGTAAATATGTACATATAGCCAAGGACTTGGCATGGAATCTGCTAATTGTGAGATCTGACAGTGTCATGGGGAGAAGGCTGATGATGGAGTGTTGATTATTTACTGTGTCAGTGTCTTGACACCCTAATTTAGCAGTGGATGTTGATTTCAACTTTTGTGCGATGTCTGTAGAATAATCATAACAGACTGGTTTGCTCAGAGTAGAAAGTAATCACTCAGACTGTGGGGAACTCTTTTTCCACTAGCCTCTATGATTGGAATTGCATTTCCAGAGAGCAGCACCGAGGTAGGTGTTTCTGTGTGTGCTGAAGGAAAACTTCCACCACCACCACCACCACCACCATAGCTGTCGAAAACTAGTGACAGGTTATTGGACTGTCCCCGCTCCCCATGCCCCAGTGCTGCGTTTCTTTTTAAGTACAGTGGTACCTTGGCTCACGAACTTAATCCGTTCCAGGACTCTGGCCATGACCCAAACTGGTTGTGAGCCAAGTTAAATTTCCTTATAAGGGTCAATGTAAATAAGGTCAATCCATTCTGCAACTATTTTTTTTACTCACAAAAATTTGAAGCAAAGTGACAAAGAATGAGGTAGATTATATTAACAATTTGCCAGCTGATACAGCCAGAAAAAAAAAACTTTTGGGCTACCACTGTATTCCTAAGTATACTTAAAAAAAGAAAAAAGAATTCCATGTAATCATAAGGAAAAATAATATGTGAGTGAATTTAAGAGTGCCAGGCAGAGGTCTAACAGGACAGAAAGAAATGGGGAGGAGTTTCCATTGGGCCAGATTTTTTTTAATGGTATGTGTGTGGAGGGGAACTCTAATTTTAAGGGTTTACTGGAGAGTTAATTAAACCCCAGCTGACTTGTTTATGTCTCATATAAAACCTGTAATTTGTTTCCTTGATGAATTCTGTGCGACTTAAGACAAAGTTGACAGTTTGCCTGCTGTAGGATTTTTCTCACCTGCTGATATTTGTGACCTACTTTTAAATAGTGTCCTTTTGAAGTGCTGCACTTGAATACATTTCTCTGCGGTTTCTGCGCAGGCCTGTTCTTTGCCCGGCTCTTTGTATTTTAAGATGGGAGGGTCCTTTTTGTTGGCTGAATTTTTTGTTCAGGTGTCACCTAGTATATGATGCTTTGGGGTGATGCGGCTCATTCCAACTACTTTTCTTCCATGTTGTGTTTTCAGATTATGGTTGCGATATGGATGACGACGATGGATATTAATCCTTTTTGTATCCAGATTAGTGTGGCGAAATAAGCTACCTGGTGATGCAAGCAAACCTTGATGACTTCTAAAGAGACAAATTCATTATGAATTTTAGTGAGTTTCCACTCACCTGTTGCCTGGCACCAGTTTGGCTTTAGAATACTTGAAGCGTTTCTGGATCATGTTGCGGGAAAAGGATTGACTGAAGAAATAATTCCGGAAAAATGAAGGAGAGGAACCAAATGTTTGGCACAATTCGACATCTTCTGTCGGACCCTTGTTTGCGGCTGCCTTTGACTGAGCCACATTGCTGTAAAGATGCATATAAAGAAGAGAAACAACCCACTCAGTGAACAAATTGCTCCTAAAAAGCAATTTGAAAAATTTGAAAAAGCTTTGGACAGTAGAGGTGCTAAAAGCGCATTCGTCAGTAGCAGAAGTCTCCCTGCGGCTTCGTGCGCATATTTCCATACTGAAAGACTCACGAATAAATCACATCTGGGTGATGCATGGAATGCCCTGGCAACTCCCCTCGGAAAGCAGTCCTGAACACTTGCCTTTTCATGCCACAAAATTGCCCTGGGACTAGGCCACTGCTGGGCAGGAGTCTCTGCCCTGCTGTAAGACAACAGCGGCACTCATTTGATTCTGTTTTTGTTTGTTTAACACGATCTGAATAAGTAATGGGAGCATTTGGCTGGTTTATCAGAGTAGAGACTTCAGGGGTGCTGCTTCCATACGGGGCATGTCCTATTATTCTTGTAGCAAGAAAATTAAGCTAGGTCTTTTTTCATGCACTGTTGCTATTGATAGAGGCGGGTTAAGCAGAAGAAGATCAGGGGAGAATGCTTGGGATAAGCCAGACACCCCTGTGCCAGGCCATGTGCTCCCTCACTCCATATCCCCCCTGCAGTAGTGTTATTTTTAAAAACAAGTTCTTGATTGTAGGTGCAGAGAGCAGTGCTCTTGGCTGGGATCCCAAGGAAGTTTTAGTCGGCTTAACACAACGGACAGATTGTCTCCGAGATGATGTTTCATTTTTGTTTTAAAGCAAATAAGCTAAGCCCCCCTCTTCGATGTAATTTAATTTAATAGTATTTAGTGAGATTGGTATGGCTGCATTAAAGGCTCCGCCATGGAACAAGCTTGACCATGCTTTGCTCTCTCCATGTTTGCCAGTCCGTGCTATTGCAGTAACTGGCAGAAGGTGCAACTTGGTGAATCAAAGCTTAAAACTCAACTGTTTCCTGTTCCAAACTCAGTAAGATGGATTCTTCCCAAATTCTGACTAAACAGGACTGCAAGTTGAGCAGTGTTTGACTTCTTCAGCTTTCAAGCACTACTGTGTTCATTTCCTGGGAAACTGATTGCCTGCCCCATCCAAACAAAACGAAAACCCATTTCTCACTTTGGCCTTGTCTGTGTCAAGGTCAAGCCACTTCTTCCTGCCCTATTGCTTGGCTTTACCAGCGTTCGGAGCTGGAGAATCTAGCTCCCAGCTAGACAGCAAGATGAAAAGCGGCTTCCCTGAACAGAGTCCAAGGCTTCATGCTTGGATGGTAAACAGGATCTGAGCTGTCCCACTTCAGACTGCAGGTGGGGACATTCCTTCTCAAATGTTCTTCCATGCAAATAATGACAGCAACAGATCCCTCCTTGTGGGCGACTTCGGCTAGCAGGATGGGTTTCCTGTACTGCCGTATTTTTCTTCCAACTGGAAGAGCATTTGGTCAATACACACCATATCCCAGCCAACACCTGCAGTGTGAAATGGTACAGCCCAAAGGCACGATCATGGCCTCTGTGAGAATCACACCCAAGTCATGGTGGGGTGTATATGGAGGGCGGGGGCGGGGGCCAGTGCTTCCTTCTCAACCTCCCCTAATGTAATTTTCCTAATTTTATTATCTAGTTGCTCAGTCAGAACGTTCAACTTGTCACATCTGGCTTCTTTTTTCAGTAGCATTCTGGCCACTTTTGCTTTGGTGGAGATAGTTGTGGCAACATAATGGATGTGTTCACTGTTAGAGGAACAACAAGCCAACATTAGAAACAAGCTCTGCCTTTTTTTAGGGACCAAGTACTGGCTAAGGGTTTGCAAACACTTCACCTGAGCAGGTGATGTTTGCTCTTTGGAACGATGGCATTCCAAGGTGGTAAAAGTTTACATCAGCAACTCCCTCACCAAATTTCATTAAAAAATCTCTGCCAGACATCACTGCTTGGAAACTGCTCTCGTTACCATGTCAGTGTTGGCTGGGGAGGGAATAAAACAAATGTATAATTAAGTCTGTTGTGACAACAGCCAAGTTCCCCCTTCCCACTGCCAGCGGCCCCCCCTGCCACGCAGTTGGGTGGGTGCGCCATGACATTCGCTGCCTCATTCTCACAGGGACTGTCCAGTGAGAATGGCAGTTGCTTTTGCCAGAGGGGCTTCCTTGGGGCCAGGGCACCACCATGGAAGCGAGCTGCATGCTCCGAGTGCCCACTTGGGGTGCCAATTACAGAAATTGCCGGAAGGCTTTTGCAGGAAGAGGCACGCCACGGAATCTTCTTATGCAAGCTCATTTTGAGCCTTTAGCAGTTTCAGTGCAGCAGCAAGGACAAACGTGCCCCTGTTGAACCTCTGCCTGCTCCTCAACCCTGACATTCTTAGGAACTGGCCGCCCTGGCATACTTACTTGGCTCATTAAGGTATTTTTACTGGGGATTCTGAGGGCCAGATGAGAGACGAAGCAGATCTGTGAGCAGGTCGAAATGCTGCAGAAAGCAGCTTTGTAAGCGACACCCTGAATTGGGCCCACAAGTTTGGGGGAGAGAGTTGAACCTCTTCTCCACATTTTTGTTCCGTTAAATGTGTGGCCCAGCCTAGGGGTTGCTGTTTGCCCTCTTAAAGAAAGTTTATGAGGACTTGTAAGTTACCTGTGATGGGGCAAACAGCACCAGGGGTCATTCTGTGTCAAAAACAGGAAGGAGGGCTTGAAGCACGAGAGTCTCTGTGTACTCTTGTTCCCCTCAAAATACCTTTCCCACTCCTCAGGGCTACATCTTTTGCAAAACTGCAGAGATGGGGAGATCCAGTCCCAGGTATCTCTCGTCTTGTTGGGTTTTGCTCATAAAGAAAATGCCTGCTTTCTCTGCAGAAGAATTAAAGTGGTCCTTTGACTATCCAGTCCTGCTGCCCTCAGTGTTCAAGTAATCATTATATCCGCTTGTCCTTCTTTCATTCCGTATCAGATGTAAAACATGGTGCTGAAATGTTTTGCTTCCCGAGAAATGTCTGTATATATTTGGATAGCTATTGCATTTCTCTGGGCATGTATGTGTACTAATCTTTGAACATTTGCCTTTGCCCAAGTTCTTTTAAAGTGGCATGACACTCGAGGAGACCGCCCAAGTTGGAAGGGGCTTTGTTCCGAAATACAAATGATTTTGTCTGAAAGAAGTTATATAATGTTAGCTCTGGGAAAACAAAACAAAACAAGAGAACGTCTTCCTTGCCTAGCGCCCTTCCTGAATTTTGTCTTCTATGAGATTGTTAAGAACAGCCTTTCCCGACTTTGTGCGCTCTCAGTGTGTTGAACTACAGCCTCTGGCATTCCCAGCCGACATGCCCAAGGCTGGGTGCGTGTGATGGCAGTTGTAGTCCAGCATTTTTGGAAGCTGCCACGTTAGGGAAGGCTCAATCCGCCTAGCTGGCTCCCATGCCCAGTTCCTTGCAGAGGAGCATCATGGAGAGCTGGGTGCCGTGCTTGTGCACGGGGAAGCCGGAACCGAAGGCGACAGTCAGGGAGGCTCGTCGGGGGCCGTTCACAAGCCAGCAGCTTCTCCTAAGAATGGCTTTTTTTTAGCCACGGCACAACCAGGGAGGTACGGAGAGGGTTGTCTTGTGCATGCAGAAGGATGGATTTTCTATTTACCTTACTGTTTATATGGATTTTCAACCCCACTTTGCACTTCCTAATCCACATAATACTGTGTGAGAATTTCTTCTCGGTCATTTTCTCCTCCTCCTCTCTAATGTTCATTTCTCCTTGCTGTGTCTAAGCTCAGGGAATGCAAATGGATTAGCAGGTGCCACTTTCTGTTGTCCTAACTACTTAGGCAAATGTTAAGAAGGCGCACGCCAGCACCAGCTCTCAGCTGCCAGCGGATCACCGTGACCTTGAAGGAAGCATTTTGCTGAATTTCTCTGGAAGTCATTTGGATATTGCTGTGTTCCAGACTCAAATGATGATGAAAGATTATAGGGTTTCAAGAACAGTTAGCTTTCGATTATGAGATGCGAATCTTGGCTGTGTGTGCCATACATTTAGAAGCTACTAAATTAGTCAAAATCCCCCAGCTGTGAGTGTTAACGCTTTTCCATGTTCTTTTTAACTCCTTGGTCACTTGGCCACTTGTCCATCCGCTCCCCCTGGCAGTGCTGGCGCACGGACCTTGGGCCAGGCTCTCCCTGCGAAGACCTCGTTGTGCCGGTTCAGTTCACACAACTGCCTCTTCCTCATCCTCCTCTGTCTCTTTAGAGAAGGCTCCGACATAGTCGAACTGTTGTGGACAGCCACCCTCTAGATGTCACCTGCATGGTCTCTTCGCTCCCAGGGAAGCAGGAGGTTGTATCCAACCTAAATGACTGGGCCATAGGTTAAAGGTGGATGTAACCCAATGGCAGCATCCCAGGAAATATGAGCAGAGCTCTGGGGCTAGAGAAATGTTGGCAACCCGTGAATTCACAGGCACCCCCAGACTCCCCTCTATCTCTACCCGACATGCCGTTATTCATGCAAGTCTGACTTCAGTGGGGAGCAGCTAAACAGAGGCGTGCGGAGCACTGTTTAAAACCCTCTTCCATGGCCATTTTCCCTCTATTGTTTGCTTTCTCTCTGGATTGTGTGGGAGTTCAGTATTTCAGGGTGGCTTTCATTGCAAAGGAATTGTGCTGCTTGTTTGTGCGTTAACAAGACCAGTGCATTTGGCAGCGTGTGAGTGCCAGTGGATCACAACGACCTGTGAGCATCTTGGATGGGCCCCACCAATCTGCACCAGAAGTGATGCTGTGCTGTTTTGCTGTCGAACAAATGTAATATCTGTAAATACTTTACCTTATCTTGGATTATGTGTTCTTGAAAATCCTGCCTTCTATTAGTTGGTGGTGTTTTTTTTAATTTCTATTTAATGTCTCTGTGACTTGGATGGGAATGTACAAAAATGCTTGTGTAAATCCTATTTTGTCTTCATGAAGCAAGGCATTTCTTAATCACTGAAGTGTGTGAGTTTTCTTTCAAGGTGGATCTTCTTTCTCTAATCAAAACAAGGGTCCCTTTCCAAATCACATGATCATGGCAGCCAGAAACTACCAACCATAACTTTCCCCTCACTTTTTCAGATATAAATGTCGCTCAGCAAATAAAGGCAGACATGCAGTTTGGAATCATTCTCACTGAACACAGCATGAATTCTACCAACACATGCTGCATCCGGTCTCGAGCCGAACCTGTCAGGAGAGGCCAGTTCAAGAGGCCCACCCCTGAAGTGTGGGCCCAATCCACCATGGATAATCCTGTTTGCATGCTTCCTCTTAGCAGACCCAGGGGTGAACTTTTCATCTGGTCCATGGTTCCTGCGCTAGTTGTATTTTAGGCATCAGGAACCATAGCAAAGGTAGCTTCCCCCAGAGCATGAGAAACAGAAGGGTTTCACCTTTGCGATTAACACAGTGAAGCAAGCCTTCGCAGTCCCCCGCCTCCTGCCCTGGCTTTCGAATGTGGGTACTGAGAAGTACGAGCCGAGCAGGCCCCTGAATTGAGTTCGGTCCCCATCTTTCGTGTACAGAAACCTGCTAGAAACGCCGCCTCTTCTGTTGGGCCTGCTGGTCCCAGGCATTTGCATGGAGCAGGCACTGTGGCTGTGCCTCCTCGGGGCTGCACGGGCCCAGGTCGTGGCTTTCATTCTGGGAGCATCTGCGGACTTGGATTATTACAGTTCACATTCAGTAACTGCAAGAGTCAGTGCCTGCAATTAGTCACTACTGCTGGTCGTTAACTCTGGAGACAGGCAGAGGGAGAAGTCTTGCCATTCACATGAGTTTTCTCCCTTCAGCTGGTCACCTGAATTAGTCAGGTCCAAAACGAAAACAGCTGCTGTCTTGATGCTTCTTTGCTTATACACAAGTACACTAGCGAGCCGGTTCGTGGCTTAGGTCAGTGGCCTTCAGCGATTGTGTCCAACATGAGGGTGTCACTGGATCATGGCATCCTCAAAGGAGAACAGGGCGCGGTCCTTTCTAGTTCTGTAGCAGAGGTTGTCTCAGGACAAGTCTCTTCCCTTGGTCCATTATGGCAACTTGTACCGGGTGTGCGGACTAAAATAGCCCCCTCTGTGCACTTGTTCAAGTGCAGGAGCCCTGACAGCCACCTTCTCATCTTCTCAGAAAAAGAAATGAGTGCAAAATCAGTTTCAGCTCTGCCCACGTTGTAGGTTGGGGTTGGCTTTGTTTCCTGATAAGGGTAAAGACTGCTGATCAAAGCTGTAGACCCCATTTACTTCTTGTGAAAAAGTACTAAATGTCAAGTAATGTATGCTGGACACCCCATACAGCAGGGTTGGGGACCCCAAGTCCAGACTCGGATCTAGCCTTCCCAGGATTCCAGCCTGGCACTCAAAGAGTTCTCCAGATGGCCATGCCTGGCCCCCGTCCTTCCCCTCCAGCCACCGGTTGTTTCCAGGATTAAGCTGCAGTGTAATGACATCATCACCATCATTTGCATCATTTTCATTTTGAGGCCTTTGTCCCTGGCTGCTGGTGGAAATCAGCCCCCAGAGCTTCTCCAAAAGGGAGTTCAATCCCAAAGTCTTCCCTACTTCTGCCCTACAGTCAGGGCCGCCTTAACCGCATTATGAGCCCCGGGCAAAGCAGTGTACTGGGGCCCCTGCGACAACTACAACTTCTGTCAATTTGGGAAGTTTCCCCATTTTCCAAGGGTTGACATACACAGGTTAGTATGGCGCCCCCGGGCAAGTGCCCACCAGGCCCAAGCATGAAGACGGCCCTGCCTGCATTATTGATGCAAGTACATAAGATCCTGGCCTGCACTTAGGCAGAGGGCTGAGCTCAGCACTGTTTTTGAGTGGTGGCCCCTTGGTGCCAACGCTGCCAGGGATGGAACCCAAGGCCTTCTCTTCCACTTTCTCTCTGAGTTCAACCTCTGACTTGGTCCTTTGCCTATTGGGCCGCTCCTTTCCATGCAAAGGCTGCATTCACCATCAAGGATGCTCTTAGAAGCTGCAGTGTCTGAGCCAAAGGTCAAGAGGGTGGTGCTGAAATCCAAGGGGTGGGTCCCCCCTCCAAAGAGTCTAGCATACTGTGGCTTAAACCTAAGCCCTATGAGAGGAAGCTTGACCTTTCAGCATGGGGGGAACCACACACGAATCAGGAAGGTGCAAAATGGGTGTTGGTGGGGGAAAGGCGAGGGGTCGGGGGGGGGCCACCTGGGGCACTGCAGAAGGCCGTATTGGGCCACCAGGGGGAGGGGCCCATGCGTGGCCTGGCTTGGACCAAGGTCTGTTTTGGATGTCCAGTGCATGCTCGAATCAAGACACCGACTATCACGGAAGTGTGTGGTTGCAGTGTGTGGGCTGGAATCTCCCCATATTTTATCACGACAATTTGAGTTACCAAACTGATTGAAATTGCACATTAAACCTCTCCCTTTTCAACTCTGAATATTTGTGATAAGAGCTAAGCTGTACAGTCAGTGGGCTTTATGAATAAAAGCAAAGATACATTTAGGAATTCTAAGATGTTCAAAAGGCCCAATGTCTTACGTCTCTTTAATTAGTCATGGGAGCAAATATTGCTGAGTTTTCCGGGAAAAATGGCAAATTGTTACCATGCTGTGTGCCTTCGATACAAAGCCCTCCCATCCCCCTGTCTTTGCAATATGTTTCATTACAGAATAAAACATTAAAGCTTTAATCAAGCCTGTATTAGCTGGCAGATGGTTCCAAGAGCCCTTTTAAATGTGATGATGAAGGAAACGGTGGCTTTTTAAGTCACACTTCAGCAGATTATTAACTGCTAAAGTCTTAAAGGATTTTCCTCCTTTCCTTGTACCATCAGGGCTTAATTCTTCCCCCACCCTGATTTTTTTAAACCTGAGATTATCTCTGAAGAAATGGGAAATGGGAGATTCACTGGCCCTCACTCAGTGAAGAAGTTTGCAGCTCAATCCAATACATGGTTATGAAGCAGCACATCTCCTTGGGTCAATGCGGGATGTTCTAGGGTAAAACTGTGTAGCAATCCAGCCGTAAGCAGGTCCCATTTCCAGATACCCTGTGATTTCTGGATGCAAAATCAAAGCATGAAACGTTTGGGGAGCACCTGAATGGTCAACCCATCCATTGTGGCATTAGATTTCATGGCACATGAAGATGGTCCTTCGTCGATAGTTCTACAGGTGGAGAAGGACACAGTGCATGCCTGGAGTCTTTTCTTGTTGGACGGAGGTCACTGAAGACTTGCTGGCATTTTGCAATATTTGTGTTTATTTCCAAATGTACATTGGTGGATGCACTAAATGGGCTGCTTCTGGCAGCCAGCAGTCAGGCTCTGCATTCAGGTAACTTTCTCAGTTCTGTGCTAGAGCGGCCTTGTCTTCTTCACACAGACACCTGGCTGGGAGTGGATCCAAATAAGAATCCAGCACAGGATCCAAATAAGCCACTTCTTCTCATCATCCCCTGACCTCCTTAACTCCAGTGCAAATACATTGCAGGCTATTAAGACTGTTTTGTCAAGTCCTTGTACAGTCACACTGATAGTCCTACTCTGAAAAATCAATTAGGAAACTCAAAAGATGCACAGAGTCCAGCTTTGAAAGTTCAAGGGGGGGGGGCAGAGTTTTGAAGAGATGAGGGAGAGATACCTGCCATATCATCTGGACACATCTTTCATTTATAACATTTCCGGACTGCCTCATAGCCAAAGTGCTCTGTGTGGTTAATAAAGATTAAAGACTTACAAAACAGTATTTATTTATTTATAGCATTTGTATACCACCCCATAGCTGGACAGATTCCAGAGTGGTAAAATTGATAAACAAATAAAAACAACGTGTTAAAAGCAGGATAACATTAAAACTGTGGCTGGTCAGCAAGGATGGCTTCCCGGAACAAAGACATCTTCAGAAGGTGCTGAAAACAACACAGTGCTCAGCTGCCCAACCTCCAGAGGTGGGGAGTTTCCAAGCCCCCACCTGTTAAATTCAGGACGCCAAGCAGTGGAGGCCACCAGCCACGAACCAACAGTTCAGTCTCTTGAGAGGCGCTGGGAAGGGACTGTGATCCAGGCTTCAGGGATCCAGCAAAGGCCAAAATAAGTGAGGGCATTCCAACCGGCCGAGGGCCCCCTCCAAAGCACGATAGGGCAGGGGGGTAAGGCAGAAGGTGCTTCCCTGGGCAACCTGCCTCCTGGTTTAGGCTTCATGCACCAGCACCAGAGCCTTCAACCCAGCCCAGCTGCATACTGAAAAGGGCAGCTGAGCCGAGCACCAGCACCAGCTGGGCTTCTTTACCAACCCCAAGGGCACCTTCCCATACGAATTGCTTTTACATACAAACATATACATAAATAGATGTACACACAATGTTATCAATCAACAAAAAGAAACAAAACAAAACAAAAACCATTTTTGGAAGACTTTACAGAACCTGAATTTAAAACCTGATTATAGGTGTGCACTCAAAACAGATTTCCTTCCCTCTTCCCCCTGTACTTATACTGTTTCTTGCATATTGCTAGCCACTTAGAGAGTCTTTCCAGGCTATTGAGTGGCATACAAATTTGAAAATAAAGTAAATAAGAATAAATCCTGCACCCCATTAAGAACTGCATCATATGCCGCCAAATGCCCGAAAGTAGAGGAAGGTCGTGGTGCCAAAAGGATAATGGTCTTAATGTCAGGCAGATGTTCCTGGGGAGAATGTTCCACAGCTGGGGGCCAGCAATGAACAGGCCACTTCCTTTGCTAGCACCTTCCAAACCTCCCTCAGAGGGGGCCTTTTGTTAATGAGGCAGGTTCATGCCAGAAGAGGCACCCTGTCAATGCAAGCTGCCCCCCCCTCTTAATTACTGCTCTGTAGTTCTACCCAAATTATATTCATGATAAGAACAGAGTGACTTGTTCAAATCAGCAGTTTCCAGTCATGTGCGGCTGAGCTGCCTAGAGGACTTCAGTCACGATGGTGTAGAAATGTGAT